GAGGACTTCTACAAGCAACATGGGAAGTTGAGCAAGTCATGACATGAAATAATGCTTTCGAAATGCTTCTGCAATACTTAAGCATTGAAGCAATGTAAAATACAGCCCATGAAAATTTGCTATGAAAGTATTTCAGTTTCTATAGACACTATGGGTGTAGGTGAAAAGGTATATGCATTTTACAGGTCCTTTAAAATGACAGTAAAAAAAAAAGAAGAAAAACATGTCAATCTAGCAGTGTTCGACAGGACAGGCCTTTCTCCGTTACATTGCTCCTCCATTTCAGAGGAAATACCTCCACTCAATCCCCACCTGCCCATCACCACTAGGAACAACTCCATAGGGTTATGGAGATAGTACATTTCTTTGTATAACGTAAATTAAAATGCTCTGCTCAGACACGAGACAGCTGAAAACTAAAGAAACACCGTCTTACTCACACGAGTAAGACCTGCATAGTGCACCATTTAAGAACAATGTCATCACACACTACAAACCACCACATACAAAGCAAGCCAAAATCATATCAGGAATTGAAAAAAGGGGGCAAAACACACCTGCCTCCTCCTCTCTAGTCTACTGTAGCCATTTGGAATAAATCGAGTACGGTCACTTTCGCATTGTGCTCCAACTGTGTTGGCTGTCATTAGACGTCTATAGACTATAGCAGAAGGTTGACTCAAATGTGATCATTTGTTAGAAAATAAAGGTCTATGTAATGTATCATAAACTATAATATTTTTCATACAATAAACACTTATGAATTACCAACCATACATGGCCAGCAGCATGGTAAAACCCAGGTTGGATCAAAACTATAAAGCAAAATAATTTCCCTTTTGATTTTTTTTTTTTGGGGGGTATGTTTAAGTATGTTATGTTAGAGTATAAAGAAAAGGAAATCTAGTAAAAATATTTCTACTTACAAGTCCATTGGCCTTGTCTATTCTTATCCTGTAGAGAGTATCGCACCATTTTGTTTTACATTGATTCTCCATTAACGCACACAATATTATTGAACTGCAGAAATAATCGCGACAGTTGGATTACATAAATATATTTTCCTTTGATTTAATATTTCATTACATATATTTCTGATAGAAGAATGGTAGTTACCCTGATTGGCTGCAGAAAATACCATAATGGATTCAATTATCAGACAAGAGTAGCACATAATTACACAATCTATTAGCTTAATATCTGTTTATATGTTTGATGTCAATAGAGCAGAAGGAATATTTACTGGCTTTGAATGACAACCACTTCCTTGACTGTTAAAATGCCACAGAGTCTCCTGGTTAGAATGTAAAGTTGCACAGCTTGCGCCCATCATGTTAAATGTGAAAACCTGCGCGGAAACACCCCTGATGCTGGAATCAGCTCCTCACAACACTCTTTCTAGATAGATGTTTTACTAGCGTCTTACATAACATCAATTCCCCTAGCACAACCTCACTTGCCATCAATGATCCCAATGGAGAGGCCATCGTTGATTTGAGCATATCACCAGGTTGAAGATCTTGGTTGTAGACAGTACAATATTGGCTGAGATCGGTTGCCACAGCAACACTGCTGTGCAATTGAACCCACTATTGGCCATCTTATGTGAATGGATGGGTGTTTGAAAAGGCAAAAAGTATCCGGATTAAATCTCCACCGCAAATGACTTGCCATACAGTACAGTGATATAGTTTTCCTTCTGAGGCACTCACAAAAGGACATGGGCCTTTGTGATTACCTCAGTCTCCCCCTTCCCATTAAGTTACAAGTACAAATTACTAAAAAAATTATAACAATATAACTCTGGCAAATGCCCAGAAGAAATGTGTCTACACTGTACATCAACCTGAAGAAAAACCCAAAGCAGAATTTGTTTTTCCATAGGAAATCTCTACTGAAGGCAAATTAATTCATGACATTAGACTCAGAGTCATTCAAAACATAGGGGCCTTGTAATCAAAAGGTTGATCACCCTCTTAAGACCTCCCCAACACACTGTCCTGATCAGGTTACAGAAGTCAAGCACTCACTGCAGCATTCAAACAAGGTCGGTTTAGCAGCAAATGGAAGGAAAAAATATTTACTTTTTGTTAGTTTTTTCCTTTTTTTTTAACAAAGTGCTTTCTTTTTCCATACACATAATATAGAATATACTATACAAATATAACATTTAGAAGATACATTTCAGCTTAATCTATTTACAAAATGAAACACTACAAAAACAAACCATGGACGGTATATAGAGAATCTTGACTACACTAACCAAGTAAGTAGAATAATATATCTTATTATAAACATAAAGTATCATTCTAGTTTCAGAGAAAGTATATTTTCTCCCTTTTTAATTCAATCAAAAACACATGAGTAAATCAGTCTATGGCATGCAGTGCGGGGAAACCTGCTTTGCAGAACAATAACATTGTCCCTCTACAGCAAACAAAAGGTATGTTCAGATATTGTAAGTACTGAAATAAGAAGATGCTCACTGGATAAAATAAAACATTTTCAATTAAAACATGCCTTTTTTTCAGCATAGGGACAATGTTTTACTGTTCCGCATTGAGGGTTTGCAGCTGTGCCGGTTTGATTAAATTCAGCCTTAAGTCACCATATTCTCTTGGAATTAGAAAACCGTGTCTTTCAAATTGACAAGATTGACAAGTTGCAGCAACAAAGAGATGCTTTAGCTAAGAGCATTCTCTCTCTCTAAAAGCTGCTCGTCTCATTTCGTCTGGGCTGAGATTGGAACAGGTTAAGACTACAATTGCAAGTACTCAATTGAGAATCATCATCCATACATTTTCTACCAATCTTCCTCATGACAGTGCAACAGAGCAGCTTTGTGTCAAGAACTGAGGGCACAAAGAAACCAGAATGATATCCATGATATTCAATCCCTTACTTTCAGAACCACTAAAAAAACTATACCCTCTCCACAGAAAACAGAGGAACCCCTCCTTATCTCATGCAGTCACCCTCCAGAAATTAATATCTTTGAATATCTCTCAAATGAAATACTTGCGCACCAACAGAAAAAGGTCAAGGCAAATAGTACAAAAATATGTTGTTTTTTTTCATTCCCCCCCCCAAAGTTGCTCTGAATGTGAGGATAGACCTTAGAAATGTCATGCTTTTTAACGTATCAATTTGAAAAAGTGCCAATTCACAATAGATAGACATATGTGTACTGTATGCATGAATGGACAGTACTATAAATACACAACATAAATCACATAATATGTCATTGATGTATGTGTATCTGTCTCACCTACATAAACTATACAAGTGATATACCTTTTGGTTATTTGTGATTGACGTTTTGACAAACAGACAAAATAAAAGCGTATTATCCAATTGCGCTCCTTCCCTTTTCTACTTTGTGCCTAAGCACAATAGAAAGAGGTGGGAGTATTAACTTCAGGAATCTATCAAATGTATCCAAAGCAACTGAACTACTTGAGAAGCCAACGGACAGAGCAAGAGCCTTTTAGAAAATGGTAATGAATGCTTCTTTCAGTACATAATTGGACCCAAGCTAATTTCACAGTTCAATGAAAATCCCTGACCCTACCACATTTCCTACATTCAATACGGTGTCAGGTAAGCTGTGCAAAACCTTACTTTATCTGGCTAGTCACCGTTTTTGTTGCGTGTGTCATTGTCATGTGTCTTTGGTACAAAAAAACAATCAAAATATAGTGTGCAAATATTTTGAAATTCTATACGAATCTTTTTTTTTTTACCCTCCCATTCCCATCCCCTGCCCCAAAGTCCAAGTACCGATAACCAAAGTAAATGTTTGTCAGAGCCATCTTATAATACAATGCACAGACTCTGTGGCATATATCTACATGTTCATATGTACATTCAGAATATTTTTTAAGAGCAGAAATACATTACAAACTCACACCTTCCCTGCACCATGTTCTGCTCTCCCTCATTGTAAAATGGTCCACTATCCTTCAACCTCTGGGAGTTTTTGTAATCATCTCACTTTAAATACAAGGCACAATGAATAGTACTCTTATTCAATACAAATATGAACACCCCAAACTAAGGAATTTCTAACTTTTAGCCCTCTCATCCCTACTTTTGAAGAAGCCAATGGCATTTTCATTTGAAGACACTTCAACCAAAGTGTATATCGAAAGAGAAAATTGATTGTTATAATCACATCATCTAGCTTATAGTCAGACGACTTAGGATCTTAGTCATGGAATATAGTGGCCTTCTGCTCAAGTCCATTTGAAATATCTTCTCAACTGCAAAAACACAGGACAATGGAACAGAACAATCAGGCAAAAAAACCTTCCTCACTGCATTCCTGTCCTAAATGTGTATCCCCCAAACATCTACTATTTTTTTAGCATAATTCTGTCAAAGTAGACAATGTTTTTCTTAATATTAGTAGTATTTCAGGTGGTTCTGTGTTTTTGTTGCCTTATGATGTGGTTTGCAGGTTGACATGTATAGGGTTACATTTTCTCCTCCTATGTAAATACCGTGGTACTAGAATGGGAAAGCAGACAACTGGCATCAATAGGTATTAGGTGTTCCTAACAGTATACACTATGGAATACCCAGTGGCTGTTCTTCACTGGGAACACAGTTCAGTAAGGTGACATAATAACAAGGCAGCTGATTAAAGGACATGGGCTTGACAAGTGAATATTTATATTGAATATCTCCTGCCATCTCGTCGTCTCACTCTAAATAGAAGTCCATCCTGTGTTGGCGTTCCCACTCTAGTACGCAGGCATGAAACGGGTTGTTTGAACGCTACAGGAAATGGCTACAGCAAGAACTGATGATCATTCTGTTTTGCTTCACTTCTCAACATAAAACATTTCAGGAGGTATTGTTTCATATATTGGCTTTGAATTCGCAACGCTGTGGCCCGTGAAGGTCACTAGCCACATGCACAAATGGCAAGTAACAAACTACTAAGTGCAGAGATAGCTACTAGTTTCATTTCCGTACATGCGCATTGTGTGAATACATACATACATACATACATACATTTGAAGCATGGTATGTATGTCTTCCCACTCAGCATTGGGAATGCGTTTCCGGATGGAATGGGCATGCAGAGGGTGTGCCGTTACAGTGTGGGACGAGAATGGCGCGGATGGCTTTGAGTGTGCCATCACCAGACCTCTCTACAGGGCCTGTCTACACTCTAGATGTGGGTACGCGCAGCCCGACCAGACCTCCGGTGGGATCCCCCTTGCCAGTGTTCTCCAGGATCTGGTTCACAAAGTCAGAAGTCTCCCCGGCAACTGGTGACTTCACTGCAGAAAGAAACATTTATAGTGTGCTGGTTATTTTTTGCTGCTTTTAACAGCCATGTTAAAACTGTGTTTGAACTCAAAACTCTGTTGAAAACTGTGTTTGGGCTCAACACTCTGTTGAAAACTGTGTTTGGGCTCAAAACTCTGTTGAAAACTGTGTTTGGGCTCAAAACAGTTGAAAACTGTGTTTGGGCTCAAAACTCTGTTGTAAACTGTGTTTGGCCTCAAAACTCTCTGCAACCTTGATCACTTTCAAATGCTGACTCAAAAAGATATACTCAGTATGCTCAGGTTAGCTAAGGACAGGAGCGGGACTGTCTGTGCCTCATTTCACGGCCATCTACTGAAGATAATCTTCTGAACACTATTTCTGTTGCTACTTACAAAATATAAATCATCATCTTCTTACCAAGGGTTTCTTCGATGAGTTTGTCCAGCGTTTCAGTCATGCTTGTTCCCTTGTCATCGCAGAGGTCCTGCACTCTGTTCACTATCTCTTCCTTTATGGTGTTGATGACAAACAGAAGCCGATCTGGAACAAACAAAAAACAGCAATTATATTTTTCCTTTTAAAGAGATAGAGGTTGGCAAAAAGTCTTCCTTCCCTAAACCTCAAGGAAATATGGCAGACTACCAATCAAACAATGTACAAAACTGAAATGAAGAGGGAAATTGACCGTGAGAAAAGTGTATTATTCAACATAACTGGTAAACCTATAGGGTGTTCACCCACTGCTCTAGAATGTAGTGAAAAACTGGTAAACTCAAGTGGGTGCAACTAAATTAATGTCTAAACCTAATTTTCTTTAGCCTATGTAATTATGAATCACACACAATGAATCATTAGATATTTCTCTACAATATTACAACATTAATATGCTTGTACTTAACAGTGTTGATGAAATAAGAACGTTAGTTTGTTGTGACCGTTGCTAGTTTAGACCGCGCAGCTCTTTGTTGTATCTCTTCCATATTTCGGCATTGGGAGGTGGTAAGATTAGGAGGCATTTCCGCGCTTTGGACCAATCAAAATCAACTAGAAAATAGTCAAAATAAAGAAAAACCCTGCCATGAGTAGGTGTGTCCTAAAGGACTCTCAGACCATGAGAAACAAGATTCTCTGGTCTGATGAAACCAAGATTTAACTCTTTGGCCTTAATGACAAGCGTCACGTCAGGAGGAAACCTGGCACCATCCCAACGGCGAAGCATGATGGTGGCAGCATCATGCTGTGGGGATGTTTTTCAGCGGCAGGGACTGGGAGACTAGTCAGGATCGAGGGACAGATGAACGGAGCAAAGTACAGAGAGATCCTTGATGAAAACCTGCTCCAGAGCGCTCAGGACCTCAGACTGGGGCGAAGGCTCACCTTCTAACAGGACAATGACCCTTAGCACACAGCCAAGACAAGGCAGGAGTGGCTTCGGGACAAGTCTCTGAATGTCCTTGAGTGGCTCAGCCAGAGCCCAGACTTGATCGAACATCTCTGGAGAGACCTGAAAATAGCTGTACAGCTACGCTCCCCATCCAACCTGACAGAGCTTGAGAGGATCTGCAGGGAAGAATGGGAGAAACTCCCCAAATACAGGTGTGCCAAGCTTGTAGCGTCATACCCAAGAAGACTCAAGGCTGTAATCACTGCCAAAGGTGATTTAACAAAGTCCTGGGTCTGAATACTTATGTAAATGTATATTTCAGTTTTTATTTATTTTTTAAATTTGCAAACATTTCTAAAAACCTGTTTTTACTTTGTGATTATGGGGTATTGTCTGTAGATTGATGAGAAAAATAAATAATTTAATCCAAAATAATTCTGTAACGTAACAAAATGTGGAAAAAGTCAGGGGGTTTGAATACTTTCCGAATGCACTCACTCAATCAATCAATCTATCTATAGGCTTAATTTTGTTTTGCATTTCAATTAGAAAAAGCCCATGTTATCTCATACGAACCTGCAGCCACTAGATAGCTTGTCAGTTGACATTCGAAGTTAGTGCTGTTCTGCCCACGAAGCAGTGACTGTTCTATGGAGCAGCGACCACTTTTTGACCATGGCTGTAATGACATTCTATTCACTCTAATTGTGCTAAATTCTCTGAGTAAATAGTCTAACTTTTGAACTATATATGGTAGAGATATCGGGTTTGGACTATTGTTTTCTGATGCAATTCTCTATTGAATGAACATATTTTTATAAACATTGAATGAAATAATCATTTTATGGATGAATACCCTAAAACATACCGTATTCTGTGCCCAGACCCCACAGCTTGACTTTATTGGCCTCATACTGAGCCTTCTTCTTCAGTCGACAGGCCCTGAACAGAGAGACAAACAAGTGGTTTAAAGGCGTAGTAGTAGTGGTGGTGCTAGTTAGTGGTAGTGGTGGTGCTAGTTAGTGGTAGTGGTAGTAGTGGTGGTGGTGCTAGTAGTGGTGTGTAACAAAAATGTTAACTGTAACAAAGCAGAAAGGGACAGTTCTTGAGAGTGAGCATTGAAAATATACAGTGGAGTCCAAAATTACTGCCACCCTTCATAGAGATGAGCAAAAATGACTGTACACTACTGGTCAAAAGTTTTAAAACACCTACTCATTCAAGGGTTTTTCTTTATTTTTAATCTGTTCTACATTGTAGAATAATAGTGAAGACATCAAAACTATGAAATAACACATATGGAATCATGTAGTAACCCCAAAAATATTTGAGATTCTTCAAATAGCCACCCTTTGCCTTGATGACAGCTTTGCACGCTCTTGGCATTCTCTCAACCAGCTTCATGAGGTAGTCACCTGGAATGCATTTCAATTAACAGGTGTGCCTTCTTAAAATATAATTTGTGTAATTTCTTTCCTTCTTAATGCGTTTGAGCCAATCAATTGTGCTGTGACAAGGTAGGGGGGTATACAGAAGATAGCCCTATTTGGTAAAAGACCAAGTACATATTATGGCAAGAACAGCTCAAATAAGCAAAGAGAAACGACAGTCCATCATTACTTTAAGACATGAAAGTCAGTCAATATGGAACATTTCAAGAACTTTGAAAGTTTCTTCAAGTGCAGTCACAAAAACCATCAAGTGCTATGATGAAACTGGCTCTCATGAGGACCGCCACAGGAATGGAAGACCTAGAGTTACCTCTGCTGCAGAGGATAAATTCATTAGAGTTACCAGCCTCAGAAATTGCAGCCCAAATAAATGCTTCAGAGTTCAAGTAACAGACACATCTCAACATCAACTGTTCAGAGGAGACTGTGTGAATCAGGCCTTCATGGTCAAATTGCTGCAAAGAAACCACTACTAAAGGACACCAATAAGAAGAAGAGACTTGCTTGGGCCAAGAAAAGGTGGAAATGTGTCCTTTGGTCTGGAGTCCAGATTTGAGATTTTTGGTTCCAACTGCCACGTCTTTGTGAGACGCGGTGTGGGTGAACGGATGATCTCTGCATGTGTATTTCCCACCGTGAAGCATGGAGGTGTGATGGTGTAGGGGTGCTTTGCTGATGACACTGTCTGTGATTTAATTAGAATTCAAGGCACACTTAACCAGCATAGCTACCACAGCATTCTGCAGCGATACGCTGTCTCATCTTGTTTGGGCTTAGTGAGACTATCATTTGTTTTTCTACAGGACAATGACCCAAGACACCTCCAGGCTGTGTAAGGGCTATTTTACCAAGAAAGAGAGTGATGGAATGCTGCATCAGATGACCCGACCTCAACCAAATTGAGATGGTTTGGGATGAGTCGGACCGCAGAGTGAAGGAAAAGCAGCCAACAAGTGCTCAGCATGTGGGAACTCCTTCAAGATTGTTGGAAAAGCATTCCAGGTGAAGCTGTTTGAGAGAATACCAAGAGTGTGCAAAGCTGAATTCAAGGCAAAGAGTGGCTAATTGAAGAATCTCAAATATATTTTGATTTGTTTAACACTTTTTTGGTTACTACATGATACTACATGATAAAAACACGATTTCTCAACACAGAGGTTGAAACGTTCATAACCGATGGGCACTACATCAACATATGAATGTTTTGCAATCTCGTTAGAAAATAGGTGGTCTTGGTTGCACAGTAATATCACTATTGATAATATTTGATATCACCAATGGGTTTGAAGGATTGAGAATCCATGTCCGGAACCCCTTGTTGCAGCCCTATTGCAAAACGTTGATGTTGTGGCCAATTAACCATTTATTGTGGATTTTGATGTGTGTTTGGGGTTATGGTCTTGCTGGAATATCCACTTGCGGCCAAGTCTCAGGCTAAACTTTACCCTGTACCAGGATATTTTAGCCAAAAAACCTGGTTGCCTCTGCCAGGAGGCTAAAACTTGGCCGTAATCGGATCTTCCAGCAAGACAGTAACTCCAAGCATAATCAAAATCCACAAAGAAATGGTTAATAGGCCAAAAAATCTACATTTGCAATGGCCACCTCAGTCTCCGGACTTGAACCCCATTGAAAACCTGTGGTTTCAATTGAAGAACTGGAAAGATTCTTTATGGTGGAATGGTCTAAGATCCCTCCCAATGTGTTCTCCAACTCATAAAGCATTACGCTTGAGAGGTGAGGTATTGAAAGGTATTGAAAACAGGGGTGTCAATTTTTACCCCTACATTTGAGAAGAAAAATAATTATAATCTTACTTGTTAAACAAAATCTTTCTCTAAGCAATTGTATTAATATAAAATAATGTAACTTCCCCCCCAAAATTAACATACAATATAGCTCGGTAGTTGAATTATTCATTTTATACAGTCATTTTTGCTAATCTTTATCAAGGCTGTCAATAATTTCGGACCTCACTGTAACTACTGAGTGTTGAACATATGGAGGTTGAAAGGGGAGTATCCAGTACCTGGAGGCCAGTTTGTTCTTCTCCTTGCGGGAGCGTGGGCGGGCTGTGATGGGCAGCTCGCTGACCGGGGTCAGGTCACTGATCACCTTGTTGAGCTTCCGCAGCTCGTTACCGATCTGCAGCAGCTTCCGAGGGTTAGGGGTTAGGTCCTCCACGTCTGTCCGCCGAGACTTCTTCAGATTGTACTTCCCTGTTCACACACCCAATCACCGAGCCAGTTAACCACTGAGACATTTCCCCTTTGTCAGCATTTGTATCCAAATGGACTGATCCAAAACCCATAAATGTACATTATGAACTATGGAACAGCAATGTTACATTTATAACCTGTGATCTACTGTAATGAATTAACTATGAAGTATGTGGCTTCGATCAGGTACAACTGTAAATGTAAGAATTCATACTTCAATAGGTAGTTTGTGGTGTGTGCTTCTACACTGAACAAAAACATAAGCGCAACATGTAAACTGTTGGTCTGATGTTTCATGAGCTGAAATAAAATATCCCAGAAATGTTCGATACGCATGAAGCTTATTTCTCAAATTTTGTGCGCGCATTTTTTTTTTGTGAGTTCATGTCTCTCCCATAAGCTGCCTCCAACATCATTTTTAGAGAATTTGACAGTTCGTCCAACAGGCCACAACCGCAGACCACTTGTAACAACGCCAGCCCAGGATCTCCACATCCGGCTTCTTCACCTGCGGGATGGCCTGAGACCAGCCACCTTGACAGCTGATGAAACTGTGGGTTTGCACAACTGAATAATTTCTGCACACCGTCAGAAACCGTCTCAGGGAAGCTCATCTGCGTGCTCGTTGTCCTCACCAGGGTCTTGACCTGACTGCAGTGCGGCATCGTAACCAACTTCAGTGGGCAAATGCTCACCTTCGATGGCCACTGGCACGCTGGAGAAGTGTGCTCTTCACAGATGCATCCCGGTTTCAACTGTACTGGGCAAATGGCATCATATGGGCGATCGGTTTACTGATGTCAACATTGTGAACAGAGTGCCCCATGGTGGCGGTGGGGTTATGGTACGGGCAGGCATCAGCTATGGACAACGAACACAATTGCATTTTATCGATTGCAATTTGAATGCACAGAGATACCGTGACAAGATCCTGAGGTCCATTGTTGTGCCATTCATCACCTAATGTTTCAGCATCATAATCCATGGCCCCATGTCGCAAGAATCTGTACACAATTCCTGGAAGCTGAAAATGTCCCAGTTCTTCCATGGCCTGCATACACACCAGACATGTCACCCATTGAGTATGTTTGGGATGCTCTGGATCGATGTGTACGACAGCGTGTTCCAGTTCCTGCCAATATCCGGCCACTTCGCACAGCCATTGAAGAGGAGTGGGACAACATTCAACAGCCTGATCAACACCTTGATCAACTCTATACGAAGGAGATGTGTCGCGCTGCATGAGGCAAATGGTGGTCACACCAGATACTGACTTGTTTTCTGATCCACACCTACCTTTTTATTTTATTTTTTAAGCTAAATTACTAAAATGTAAATATCTGTGACCAACAGCTGCATATCTGTATTCCCAGTAATGAGAAATCCACAGATTAGGGCCTAATGAATTTATTTCAATGGACTGCTTTCCTTATATGAACTGTAACTAAGTAAAATCTTTGAAATTGTTGCGTGAATATTTTTGTTCAGTATACACGTGACCACTGACCAGTATGAGTGTGTGTCTTTATGAGAGAGATAAAGTGTGTGTCTCACCGTGGTGTGGGCCGTTCCTCTGGTACAGGTTGCTGGGCAGGGTCTGTCGGTCCCACTCGGAGGGCTTGAGCATGCGTTCCTGCTTGGAGGAGGTGAGCTGCTCGCTGTACTCCCAGAAGTAGCGGCGTTTGCCCCTCTTCCTGGAGATCCCTGCGGTTAGCCCCTTCACATCCTCCACCGCGTCATTGTCACATCCTGAACACATCAGACAGGGACAGGGATGAGGGAGAGACAGAAGAGAGGGAACAACACAATAAAATGGAGAGAATGAGGATCAGAAAGAAAAGATGACAAAGGGAGATAAGGGTGAGGGTGAAGAGATGAAGATAGGGAGTGAGGATGAGAGAAGTGCATCGAGGTTCAGTTGATCAGAGAGCCCCCCCCCCATTATAAAACAGCATAGATAAACCATTGAGCCTGATGATCTGTCCCAATCGCATAGGGGGGAATTCCGACCTGAGTTAAGCGTAAATGGAAAGTAATTCCCTTTTTAGGCACTTTTCTTTCTACGCGTATTCTGACCCTGAACTTAAGCAGGAAAATAACATGATATTCACCCGCTATTCGTTTTGGTGTGGAGATCAAAGAAATTAAGGTGTGGCAGAGGTGTGTCTACAAATATGCAGTATTTGTAGACACACCTCTGCAAATGTGGCGCAGTGGTCTAAGGCTCTGCATCGCAGTGCTAACTGTGCCACTAGAGATCCTGGTTCGAATCCAGGCTCTGTCGCAGCCGGCCGCGACCGGGAGACTCATGGGCGGCGCACAATTGGCCCAGCGTTGTCCAGGGTAGGGGAGGGAATGGCCGGCAGGGATGTAGCTCAGTTGATAGAGCATGGCGTTTGCAACGCCAGGGTTGTGGGTTCGATTCCCACGGGGGGGCAGTATAAAAACAAATATGTATTCACTAACTGTAAGTCGCTCTGGATAAGAGCGTCTGCTAAATGACTAAAATGTAAAATGTAAATGTATTCGGACCTTGACTTAATTAACACATAATTCCACCACCTTTACGTGTGATGAAATTATGAACTTGTCGGTTCCAAGTGGAACAACATATTTTCCCGATAGAAATACCTCCATTCTCCATTCACTGTAATTTACAAATTTATAAGCACTTTTGGTAAGAGCTAGGTAAATGAGTAAGCCGTTTGGATAAAGGGATTATAAATATACAGTAAATGACAACTGTTTTTAGATCTATATTACCTTATGATCACTCAAGATAAATGTTCATATGGCACTAATGGCAGCAAACTGAAGCATATCAACATATTACCTTTTCCACTGGGAAGTTTATGAAATGCTTGCTTTATAATTTGCAGGGATGAAATTTGGAGACCCAAGATATAGGCTTCTGAAGCCATGCGTAAATGACAGTATAGCGCCACACCTATCGAGTTGATATGATTTCTATAATGTTTTATTATATACCCAGAATTCCCTATATATAATTCGTATGGTGTTAAATATCAGCCACTATCGGTAGCCACCGTCAGTTACAAACACATACATTTATAACTGTCACTTTAGTGTTCGTTTCCTTACATTTTGCATCATTCCATTAAATAGTTGACCTTTCTTTCCTCTGTCACGTTCATGTGATTGTTGCTGAGGATTGCTAGCAATAGCGGATCATATTAGGCTAACGTATTACAAGTTGTGCAATAATTTGGGACATGTAGCCTATTTTAATCATTATGGAACGCAGACCACACAGTAGTTTAAACCTGGAGCCTGGCGCACGGTTCACAACGACTGGACCGTTGTCATCACAGTTCCATGATTAGTGAGGATTATTAGGGTAGATTTATAGACTACTGTTCAACCCCTATAGTAAACTTTACTCACCTTAAAATATTTCACGGATTGAACAATTGAATATGGCAACTTTCAGGATGAATCAAACGACTACTTTTGATTCACCAATATATTTTGTGTGTAAAGGTTCTCCAAACCTGTTTTTGTATTATTCATCAATACATTCCTAACCCTAAATAATATGAAAGATCAGAGTACTATTAAATGTACCAATTGGTGCTGAAAAGGAGAGACGAATATGCGTGTATTTAAGCCTACGTGGCTTTCTTTCATTGATCCCTAATATTCTGAACCGTTCTCTCCATGTCTGTTGAGAAAATTCTAATTAAAAAGTTATACCAAATTTAAAGGGAATGCTTTAGATAAATCAACGAGAAAACCTGTTTGCCAGCAAGTGGGAGGGTTTTCAGTGGTTTAATTCAAATGTATTCAGCAATCGCAAGGGAACCATGCCTGCAAAGCCCGTTACGCACCTGCACAAGGTCAATCTGAATACCAACTACTGAGAAGTGCGTAGGAAGGGCGTGGGTAGGAAAGGCAAACATTTCCTAAGTCTGAATCAGGCCCATAGAGAATGGCAAGGGTCAAATAGACACCCAAAGCACAAACATGACCCCATTCTCCAGATCCCTTTACAACAGGGGTATTCAACCAGGGGTCTGAGGTACTGCTGGGGTTTCCGAAAATATGTTTTAAGAATATTGCTAGCAACAGAATATATATATTTTTTAAATAAAAACATATCTACAGTAGAAAAAAGGATATTATATTTTTTCTAATGATGTCAACTTTATTTCTCAAATCCTAATATTGAGCAAATGACACTTATTGGAGCCAATTACTGTCACTGGAGTATCTGACAGGCTTTGAAAAAGCACCCGCGAAGAGACTGCTGGTAAGCTTTCTTGACTTGGACATTTTTGCCAACACATGGCTAACCTTTGTTTAACCCGCTAAATAGCAGCTCATACCGAAAATGTTAGAGTTTACACTTCTTCTTCCAATTATAATGTGGGGAGGTGAAAATAATGAAGAACTATCTACCAAATCTATTCATTTAAAAATGTTGATTACTTCTCCTTGCCATTATCATTCACCTGATAAGACAAGACGTGAAGAAAAAAAAACGTTTGCCAACATATGATGGGGGTCCCTGGGTCACCAGTTTGCCTGGGAGGGGGGTCCCTGGCCAAGAAAAGGTTGAAATCCCCTGCTTTACAATACAGAATACTTTGACTCACTATAACACAATGGGCCAGACCAGGGCCTCCCAACAGGGAACAAGTGAACCAATCACACATTTTATTTTAAATTTCATTTTCAGTGGCCTTCAGCTACATAGAGATTCCCATTTAGAAATCTAGGTGAGGTTTTCTATACAGGGAGCTGACATTAGTAATATCCCCGCTGGTCTGAAGTGGGCACCTTCAGCGACTTACTTAACTTCACATGAAAAACGAAATGGTTACTATAATTCAAGGTGCATGGACTTTGGCCTTGGGGCCAATGTGGGTGTCAAAAAAGATAAATGACTACCTGATATATGGCTCCCTGGCTCGGAGAAGGTGTCACTCATGTCGTCATCTTTATCCCCCTCATAATCATCATCCTCCTCATCATCATCATCATCGTTCTCAGAGAACTCATGCTCGCTGCCGAAACCCTCATCATGATCTTCATCCAGCTCCACCCCCTCAGCATCTTCTTCATCCTCCATCTCTCCCACCTCCTCTTCTTCTTCCTCCTCTTCCTCCTCTTCCTCCTCCTCCTCTTCCTCCATCTCAGTGAGGGTTTTCCCAGCCAGCCTGGCTCGGGTTAGGAACAGGGAGTAGTTGTGCTCCTCTTCCTTCTTCTTGTCAGAGACTGGGTCAGGTCCCAGGGCACTCCCACTGGCAGTCAGCAGGGTCTCGCTGGCCTTGGCCCCAGCCACAGGGTAGTGGAGGATGGGGGGCACAGCTCCAGACGTGCCCACTGAGGCAGGGGGCATCTCCCGGCGAGGCAGCTCTACTCTCTTCTCATAGGCCAGGGTGCTGGCAGAGGCAGAGGCTGCAGTAGCAGGAGCAGCCACAGGGGCAGCACAACCAGACGTGGTGGCCACATCAGGGGGCTTGCTGCGGTACAGGGAGTTGTCTTCAGCCTCAATCTGATGGGTGGCCATGGGCATGTCAACTAGGGGCCGGCGAGGCATGCTGACGCGAACCTTGGCCTTGCGCACGTAGTCGTTGCAGTGGTGGCCCAGAGCAGCCATCTTGCTGGGCCCCTGGGCCTTGGACATAGTCTCTGTGCTGGAGGGGACAGGCCAAGTGGCGCTCTGGGAACCCTCTGCAAAGTCGCCCAGGGGGTCCCTGACCAGGTTGGAGCAGGAGGCGGAGAACGAGGGGCCTGGGCAGGCTGCCGTCTTCTTGCCCAGGGAGAGTGGGGGGAGGGAGGTGTGCTGCTTCTGGCCACCCATCAGCAGATCAGGGTGGTAAAGCGTGTCACTCGCAGGTGGTTGCGAGTCCTCGCTGTTAAGCTGGGCCAGGGTGGGGGTCCGGCCAATCACCTCCTCATCCTGGTAGGGGCTAGAGAAGTCATCCAGACCTACCTCCTTGGTGCCCCAGATGTCACAGCTGGTAAAGCGGGTGTACTTGGTCAGGTCCTCCCAGTACGTATCCCACTGCTCAAAGTTAGAGCTGTAGTCCGGGTCACTGTCCACCAGCTCCAAGAGGTACTCGCCACACTCCATCATCTCCTTGCAGTCCCCCACTGTGAAGTGATCACCTTTAGGGCTTTGGCGATTAGTCATATCTCTGTCCTGGGGAGGAAAGGGGAGTGTAGAGATTTAAAAAGTACATTCCATTTATATTATTGCCCTATCCTTTGATAGATTTGTTTAAGGCTAAGTATGCAACCATCTTCACTCAACAATATTTTGTGTGTAAATAAATACTTTATAATTGTATTGCCATAGCGGGATGTGTTCTCTGCTAGGCCACCTGTCTATCCTGATTCTCTGTGAGCTCTGTAAACTGTGATCCTGCCTGGAGACCGCTTTGCATGGAGAACACTTACCAGTTCGTACATGAAGTCTGGGTCTGTGTTACTCGCCAACAGGTCCGTGCTGGTTAGTGCCTGGTCAGCAAAAGTATAATTTTGAAAGAAATCCCCAAAGGGAAGATCCATTCCACTGATGCTGGGCTAAGGAGAAATAAACATTCCAAACTACTGAAACTGTCTCAACCTGTTGCAATTCCATTTCAGAGTGAACAGAGATTATTAGGTGTGGTTTAAAGAGGCAATCTGATTTTAGGCTTTACAAACAATGGAGTAACACAAGCTTATATTTTAGGTACTGATGGGGTATGACAGTCAGCATTTATAATTTATATTCTTCAATAATCAGTGGGTATATATAATTTATATTGCCCCTTTAAACATTTAGTTAAGCATGAACAGTAACTATGAACATACAACATTTGTGGTGTTGTGTGAGCCATGATGAATGTGGGAATGTTCCCATGGACGTTCCCATGACCAACGTGGGAACTCGCCGTAGGCTGTCAGTCCACTGACAGCTACACTACCGGTCAAAAGTTTTAGAACACCTACTCATTCAAGGGTTGTAGAATAATAGACATCAGAACTATGAAATAACACATATGGAATCATGTAGTAACCAAAAAAAGTGTTAAACAAATCAAAATATATGTTGATACTTGAGATTCTTCAAATAGCCACCCTTTGCCTTGATGACAGCTTTGCACACGCTTGGCATTCTCTCAACCAGCTTCATGAGGTAGTCACCTGGAATGCATTTCAATTAACAGGTGTGCCTTCTTAAATGTTAATTTATGCATTTGAGCCAATCAGTTGTGTTGTGACAAGGTTGTGGGTTCGATTCCCACGGGGGGCCAGTATGAAAAATGTATGCACTCACTAACTAAGTCGCTCTGGATAAGAGCATCTGCTAAATGACTAAAATGTAAATGTAAAATGTAGGGGGGTATACAGAAGATAGCCCTATTTGGTAAAATACCAAGTCCATATTATGGCAAGAACAGCTCAAATAAGCAAAGAGAAACGACAGTCCATCATTACTTTAAGACATGAAGGTCAGTCAATACGGAACATTTCAAGAACTTTGAACGTTTCTTCAAGTGCAGTCGCAAAAACCATCAAGCGCTATGATGAAACTGGCTCTCATGAGGACCGCCACAGGAACGGAAGACCTAGAGTTACCTCTGTTGCAGAGGATAAGTTCATTAGAGTTACCAGCCTCAGAAATTACAGCCCAAATAAATGCTTCACAAAGTTCAAGTCCCAGACACATCTCAACATCAACTGTTCAGAGGAGACTGTGTGAATCAGGCCTTCATGGTCAAATTGCTGCAAAGAAACCACTATTAAAGGACACCAATAATAAGAAGAGACCTGCTTGGGCCAAGAAACACAAGCAATGGACCATTGGAAATGTGTCCTTTGGTCTGGAGTCCAAATTTGAGATTTTTGGTTCCAACCGCCATGTCTTTGGGAGACGCGGTGTGGGTGAACGGATGATCTCTGCATGTGTATTTCCCACGTAAAGCATGGAGGAGGTGGTGTTATGGTGTGGGGGTGCTTTGCTGGTGACACTGTCTGTGATTTATTTAGAATTCAAGGCACACTTAACCAGCATGGCTACCACAGCATTCTGCAGCGATACTCCATCCCATCTGGTTTGGGCTTAGTGGGACTATCATTTGCTTTTCAACAGGACAATGACCAAACACACCTCCAGGCTGTGTAAGGGCTATTTTACCAAGAAGGAGAGTGATGGAGTGCTGCATCAGATGACCTGGCCTCCACAATCCCCCGACCTCAACCATCGGACCGCACAGAGAAGGAAAAGCAGCCAACAAGTGCTCTGCATATGTGGGCACTCCTTCAAGACTGTTGGAAAAGCATTCCAGGTGAAGATGGTTGAGAGAATGCCAAGAGTGTGCAAAGCTGTCATCAAGGCAAAGGGTGGTTATTTGAAGAATCTCAAATAGAAAATATATTTTGATTTGTTTAACACTTTTTTGGTTACTACATGACTCCATACGTGTTATTTCATAGTTTTTTTTTTACAATGTAGAAAATAGTAAAAATAAAGAAAAACCCTTGAATGAGTAGGTGATCTAAAACTCTTGACCGGTAGCGTATATCATCCACAGTGTAATTGCAACTAGCCTGAGTTCTGTCCGTTTTAAGCTACAGACTAAGGAAAACAATGTGTGAACATTTGAGATACATTGTTATGGATAATGGTAATTAACTGTCCAGCAACCTTGTTGTTTTTGCTTCAGAAGTTGCTTGTGCTGAAAGATGGTCAATTGTAAGATTATGGCGAGACAAGTGACTAAAGTTGAACCACTTCTAAAGAACCCTCCCTTCCATTACCTGAGGCATCGCCGAGCACCGATCGCTGTTCCTTATTGTGAATTATTCTTCCACCTCGTGTCCCAGTCGTCTTTGGATGATGTCAACCACCAGTAGAAAATAGATGAGTTAAGTAACAAAGAGTCTTCTTCTTTATTGTGTAAAACTCAGTGACTCATCAGTAAGTCTCGCCTTCTTCTCTTCTGATCCCTGGTGTCTGGAGATAGATGAGAACACAGGGGGAATGGAAGTGTTAAATTGGTAAGATTTTACATATGTTTGCACATTTTGCTACTTCACCTTCATACTAGGTAGACTTGACAGCATATGGCACGCCTACAATCTGATACGCCTCTAATACAGAATACTGTCACTTCGCCTACATGCTGAGATTCTGTGCAGATTGTCAAACACTGCTTCTGAAAGTGCCTGTCAAGACCGGCTGTTCATTTAAAATCAGAACACAGCCTAATTCTATCAACTCTAGTGTTGGAGAGCTTAATTCACGACTGCGTTGGTGACGCTCAGTGCAAACTGGGGGGCCTTCCATGTTTGTTCCTGTAAAAGAGACCTAGTCGAAGCAGAGTGAAGTTGCAGCATTTCAGATCCAGAAAATGCAGGCAGCTAATTAGTTTGATGCGAGACAGAATGAGCGTTGAACGAACACTGGGTCTAGGCTATTTTTAAACGACTCTAGCTAGCTACCTTTTCCCACTGCCTACTAAGAGTCAAAAACAGAGGGAGCAGAGTCGCTGGGCGCCGTTTGCAAAACAAATCATGAGAAATATGCTGGGGAGCGCGGGCACTGTGCTGGCCAGCTGCGACACCAAGGAAAACAATCCAGCTCCTCAACAAAAAAAAATAACCACAAAACCACAATTTAGGCAACAGAACAGGAGATTGAATGAATCTGCTGTAACCAAGAAGCGTGATCTTGACATCTAGCCACTCTGCTAGCAAGTTAGCAAACCAAATGCATAGCTGAAGCTATGAGCTGGATATAATTTATTTGACATATCTTAGATTTCTTATAGTTCTAAGCAGTGGCGTAGCACACAGGTGCCCCAACCCATAAAATACCCTGGAATAAACGGTATAACGCCCAAGCCTAGCGAATGACGTCATTTCCTCCTGGTGTGCTTATCACCTCAGTCTGCTGTTGCACACAGCAGCTTTTGCATACAGCTCAGCCCGCAGAAGAAGAAAAAAAAATAAAAAAAATACTCTCCCTCTCCCCCCTCCCTCTCTCCAAGCCAGCTAGCACACTTTAGGAGCGAACAGTCGTGACATGCCATGCAAAGGAAAACTTGTGTGCTATCTGTATGAGTGCAGTCCTGGTCGTGTGAAAATCCACCCACCTGTTAGAGCAACTCAGACAGCGATTGTGTTTTGGGAGGCACTGTGATTGTGTTTTGGGAAGGCACTGTGGGGAAGCCCTTGCTGCAATGTGCTGATGCCATGCAAAGCTGCCTGCCTGGCTACTGCACTGCCATTTTAATATCGTTGTCCTCTCTACACAGAGACATCCCCCTGGAAATGAAAGACACTGCATGATGTATTGCCTTCTGCAACCTAACATGGCTCTCTCTTATGTTTATGATTGACCACTCACTTCCTAGTCAGATTTCTGATGATCGGTTTCTGTTGACGGCTGAATAAGGAACTGAAAGGAAGGCGAAAGGGCAGAAATAATAGAAGAATTCAGACAAACAACTATGTGCCACACACCCTGTATAGACAGCATTGTATTCCACCTAGAATAGGGTAGGCTACATGTTTTAGCCTTTTTGGCGCATGAATTAACATTTTGAAACTGGATAGCACCAGAGACTAAAGCACAATGTGTTCTTCAGTATGCTATGCACACAGGCGGACAGGTTAAGTCAGTTTACTATGGGCACTAAACAGATATGGGTCACAATGGATGTCACCAGCTGTTCCTGATGAACACAACTTCACTCTGCATTGGCTGGCTTCAAAGGTCTCTCAACACAATTGGAAAGGCATTAGGAAACATGAGCCCACCTTTACAATCTGATTGTGTGGGATAAAAGAGACAGCCACACTCCTGTACCAACTACAAGGTGGGAGGACATCACTCACAAGCACATAAAAAACATTTGAACCAGCCTGCCAGCAAATGGAAAATTTAAGAGGACGACATAATGATATAATTCACCCTGAACACCAACATCAGTGTTTCCCCTATATTCATTTAGCAACAGCAGGCAAAAAATAAAAATAAAAACTGTTTTCAATGTACACTTAAATGACTAAAACCAGATAAAAAGTATGTAGAAAAGATAATGGAGCTATATCTTTTTAAATAAGATCATATTTGTGAACTACACTGAACAAAAATATAAACGCAACATGTAAAGTGTTGGTCCCATGTTTCACAAGCTGAAATAAAAGATCCCAGACATTTTCCATACGCACAATAAGCGTATTTCTCAAAAATGTTGAGCACACATTTTTTTTACATCCCTGTTTGTGAGCATTTCTCCTTTGCCAAGATAATCCATCCACCTGACAGGTGTGGCATGTCAAGAAACGGATTAAACAGCATGATCATTACACAGGTGCACCCTGTGCTGGGGAAAATTAAAGGCCACTCTAAAATGTAAAGTTGTCACACAACACAATACCACAGATGCCTCAAGTTGAGGGAGCGTGCGTTTGGCTTGCTGACTGCAAGAACGTCCACCAGAGCTATTGCCATTGAACTGAATGTTCATTTCTCTACCATAAGCCACCTCCAAAGTCATTTTAGATAATTTAGCAGTATGTCCAACCGGTCTCGCAACCGCAGACCACGTGTATGGTGTCGTGTTGGCGAGCGGTTTGCTGATGTCAACGTTGTGAAAAGAGTGCCCCATGGTGGCGGTGGGGTTAAGGTATTGGAAGGCATAAGCTACGGACAACAAACATAATTGCATTTTATCTATGGCAATTTGAATGCACAGAGAAATTGTGATGAGATCATGAGGCCCATAGTCGTGCCAATCATCCGCCGCCAACACCTCATGTTTCAGCATGATAATACACTGCCCCATGTCGCAAGGACCTGTACACAATTCCTGGAAGCTGAAAAAGTCCCAGTTCTTCTATGGCCTGCATACTCACCAGACATGTCACCCATTGAGCATGTTTGGGATGCTCTGGATCGACCGCGTGTTCCAGTTCCCGCCAATGTCTGTAGCTTACATTTACATTACATTTTAGTCATTTAGCAGACGCTCTTATCCAGAGCGACTTACAGGAGCAATTAGGGTTAAGTGCCTTGCTCAAGGGCACATTTACGTCATTTAGCAGACACTCTTATCCAGAGCGACTCACCAATTGGTGCGTTCACCCTATAGCCAGTGGGATGACCACTTTACAATTTTGGGGGGGGGGGTAGAAGGATTACTTAATTTTAGCTTAATTTTCTAATACTAAGGAAGTCTCGAGATTTTGCTCGCCTGAGGTAGAGTATCTCATGATAAGCTGTAGACCACACTATATACCAAGAGACTTTTCATCTATATTTTTCGTAGCTGTCTATCTACCACCACAAACCGATGCTGGCATTAAGATTGCACTCAATGAGCTGTATAAGGCCATAAGTAAACAGGAAAATGCTCATCCAGAGGCAGCGCTCCTAGTGGCTGGGGACTTTAATGCAGGGAAACTTAATTCCGTTCTACGTACTTTCTACCAGCATGTTAAATGTGCAACCAGAGGGGGAAAAAAACTCTAGACCACCTTTACTCCACACACAGAGACGCATACAAAGCTCTCGCTCGCCCTCCATTTGGCAAATCTGACCATAACTCTATCCTCCTGATTCCTGCTTATAAGCAAAAACTAAAGCAGGAAGGACCAGTGACTCGGTTAATAGAAACGTGGTCAGATGATGCAGATGCTAAGCTACAGGACTGTTTTGCTAGCACAGACTGGAATATGTTCCGGGATTCTTCAGATAGCATTGAGGAGTACACCACATCAGTCACTGGCTTCATCAATAAGAGCATCGATGACGTCGTCCCCACAGTGACCGTACGTACATACCCCAACCAGAAGCCATGGATTACAGGCAACATCCGAACTGAGCTAAAGGGTAGAGCTGCCGCTTTCAAGGAGCGGGACTCTAACCCGGACGCTTATAAGAACTTCCGCTATGCCCTCCGACGAACCATCAAACAGGCAAAGAGTCAATACCGGACTAAGATTGAATCGTACTACACCGGCTCTGACACTCGTCGGATGTGGCAGGGCATGAAAACTATTACAGACTACAAAAAGGAAGTACAGCCGCGAGCTGCCCAGTGACACAAGCCTACCAGACGAGCTAAATCACTTCTATGCTTGCTTCAAGGCAAGCAACACTGAAGCATGCATGAGAGCACCAGCTGTTCCGGATTACTATGTGATCACGCTCTCCGTAGCCGATGTGAGTAAGACTTTTAAGCAGGTCAACATTCACAAGGCCGCAGGGCCAGACGGATTACCAGGACGTGTACTCCGAGCAGGTGCTGACCAACTGGTAAGTGTCTTCACTGACATTTTCAACATGTCCCTGACTGAGTCTGTAATACCAACATGTTTCAAGCAGACCACCATAGTCCCTGTGCCCAATGACACTAAGATAACCTGCCTAAATGACTACCGATCCGTAGCACTCACATCTGTAGCCATGAAGTGCTTTGAAAGGCTGGTCATGGCTCACATCAACACCATTATCCCAGAAACCCTAGACCCACTTAATTTGCATACCTCCCCAACAGATCCACAGATGATGCAATCTCTATTGCACTCCACACTGCCCTTTCTCACCTGGACAAGAGGAACACCTCCCTGTTCACCCATGACTGCATGGCCAGGCACGACTCCAACACCATCATTAGGTTCGCTGACGACACAACAGTGGTAGGCCTGATCACCGACAACGATGAGACAGCCTATAGGGAGGAGGTCCGAGACCTGGCCGTGTGGTGCCAGGATAACAACCTCTTCCTCAACGTGACCAAGACAAAGGAGATGATTGT